AGCGGATGCGGAGCTTCCACCGCCAATGACTCCGGTTGTGAATGGCGGTCCGAGCTTTGAAAGCATCCTCGCCACCAGCCGAGACTTCCGGTTTTCCTCCTTTAAAAAAGCCGACGTGGATATGTGCCTGGCTTATCTTCCACCATCGCGTCGTTCCATCATCAAACAATCTCATCTTTTTCCAACAATGCCTCTCGACACGAGATCTCCTCTCTTTTATTGCATACTCTCGACTTTGACTTTTCTTGTTTCATTTTTGATAGTAGGAAAATGGTCTTGGGAGCGATGAAATATTCGAAAACTTAGAATGAAACAGTAATTCAATAAAATATGTACGATTTTTGATAAAATGTACGCCAGGTACGATTTTTTATAAAATGTACGTCAGGTACGATTTTTTATAAAATGTACGTCAAGTATGATTTTTTATAAAATTTATAAGAAAATGAAAATGGTTTTATGTAGGTGTTAAAAGGTGGATGAAATATAAAACCAAAGTAACAGAATATTAAGTTAAAATACTGTAAGTGCAATGTTAGCAAAGTAATAAAATTACAGTATTAAAAAAATATAAGTTACAATATTAAAAAAATATAAATTACAATATTAAAAAAATATTAAAATTATAGTATTAAAAAAAAATAGCCTGTATATGCACTTGCCCCGTTTACGAATTTACCCCACTTCGCCTTAAATTAACAAAAGACAACGAGTTATTGAGTGGACTGATCTCTTCTAAAAATGTAAATTGTTAACAATAATTTGTAAGTTACCCCTCCATTAGTGATGAGCACAAGGAAAATTTTTTAAAGCATTCTGGTTTTTGACGTAACTAATAATTTTCAGCAAAATGACGAATTGAATGAAAATGAATGAATTATGGTGTATTGAATGAATGGAATAAATTCTGAATGAATATGGTGATACACCTAGTTATGATTTGGTAGTTATTATTTTTTTTTTTTTTAGTTAAGCTAAGGTAGTTATGATTCACCCTGTATAACAGTGAATGTCGAAAAATTGTCTGCTTCATCGCGTATTTCACAGAGAAACAAAAAGTAGATAATAAAAAGAAATTTATCGAATCACAAACACATGGCAATACAAAAGGACGAAAGCTAGCTTTTGGACATCGTAACATTTTGATCCGTATTCATAGCAAGTTCGATTGAAGAGTACTCGTGATTGACCGAAACAATGCATTAGGATTCTCTGCAAACAACCCCGGGTTTATTCTAGGATTAAAGTTTTCAGAAGAAAGTTTTTCAGCAGTGAACTAAAGAAGTCCGTTGAGATCTCGTGTCGTTGAGAAGTTCTGCTTTTCAACAACCAGCGTACATTTTTCCTCTCCCGTTCCGTTTCCTCTCTCAATTCCACGGCGTAACTTCTTAATATAAACGAAAATTCGAAGCCAATTCGCTGTGAAACAGTCTCGTACGTGATGCAGCGATAATACACTATCGATCGTGGGTTTGAGACCATCCACTTAGTTGGTGTAAATTTTCCTATCCGATCGAAAATATTCTGGGATTGAAAAATATCTCGATAAAAATTCACCCGTGAAATTGTGAAATAAAATGTCCATTCGAGAAATCTCGCAGAGATGTTTCGAAAGTCAGAAAAAAAATTTTATTATTAAATTTCTCTATAAAACTCCGTCGAAGTTCAAATATTTTTATAGAACGCGATCGAACTTTGATTGCGAAGTGAATTTGATTAATCGTGCTGAGTGATTTCTGTAAAACAGGTCTTTTTCTGTAGAATGTTGATAAATCTGGATTTGTAGTTTAAAGTAGATAAGTTTTATTACTAGTTACTATCTATATCTACGTCTATAAAATAAGATCAAACATTATTGCTCTGATCTAAGAGATGAAACGGATTAGTTTACTAAACTAACATAAATAACTATGGAACCAACAAAATTCTATGAGATCTATTTTTGTACAAATTAACCCTTTGCACTCGAATATTAAGATTACATTTCTGTAGTATTTAAAAAATTTCTATAAATTCAAACTTAAATAGAATAATAAATTAATCATCAATTTTAATTTTATATTACGTCTACTATTAAATTAATTCAAAGTTTTAATTTCGAATCGACTCCATGCTAACCCATAACTGATATTTATCAATTTACAGTAATTTTATTAAAAAAAAGGTAGGTTAGGTTATGTTCAACTCCATGCTCTTAACTGATATTTATCAATTTACTGTAATTTTATTTAAAAAAAAGTTAACTTCATTTCATAAATAAAGTAATAAGTGTACTTACTTCTTTACCTATAAATAAAATGTATTTATGGGAACAGAACGTAAAATCAGTTAAGGGTTGAATTGTCGAATTCGGATGCAAAGGATTAAAAATATCTACAATATTTAACAGTAAACTTCTAACAATTTTCAATTGATTTTGAGGACTTCGTCAGGCAATTTATCGATTTAACAACTTCAATTCATCATACAGGGTAGTCTCAAGCTCACGATCGCCAGTGTGCATAAAGAACGACGGAAATAGATAAGAATATAACCAGAAATGAACGATACGTTCGTGCCGTTATCACGATATTAATATACATTTCGTAAGTGTATATACAAACGTATATACACGCTTATGTACGTTACTGCTTTAAAAGTCTTAGGATACGCATTTCAAATCTTCAAATTTATGGTTTTAATGAGCTTTGAACTGTCGTAATTGTTTTCCACAAATAAGTTATGTAAAAGATTAGTAATAAATGGATTGTGTAAAGGATTTGTACATAACTATGGAACCAACAAAATTCTATGAGATCTATTTTTGTACAAATTAACCCTTTGCACTCGAATATTAAGATTACATTTCTGTAGTATTTAAAAAATTTCTATAAATTCAAACTTAAATAGAATAATAAATTAATCATCAATTTTAATTTTATATTACGTCTACTATTAAATTAATTCAAAGTTTTAATTTCGAATCGACTCCATGCTAACCCATAACTGATATTTATCAATTTACAGTAATTTTATTAAAAAAAAGGTAGGTTAGGTTATGTTCAACTCCATGCTCTTAACTGATATTTATCAATTTACTGTAATTTTATTTAAAAAAAAGTTAACTTCATTTCATAAATAAAGTAATAAGTGTACTTACTTCTTTACCTATAAATAAAATGTATTTATGGGAACAGAACGTAAAATCAGTTAAGGGTTGAATTGTCGAATTCGGATGCAAAGGATTAAAAATATCTACAATATTTAACAGTAAACTTCTAACAATTTTCAATTGATTTTGAGGACTTCGTCAGGCAATTTATCGATTTAACAACTTCAATTCATCATACAGGGTAGTCTCAAGCTCACGATCGCCAGTGTGCATAAAGAACGACGGAAATAGATAAGAATATAACCAGAAATGAACGATACGTTCGTGCCGTTATCACGATATTAATATACATTTCGTAAGTGTATATACAAACGTATATACACGCTTATGTACGTTACTGCTTTAAAAGTCTTAGGATACGCATTTCAAATCTTCAAATTTATGGTTTTAATGAGCTTTGAACTGTCGTAATTGTTTTCCACAAATAAGTTATGTAAAAGATTAGTAATAAATGGATTGTGTAAAGGATTTGTACATACAGTACCGTCCATAAGTATCCAGACACAAGCGAAATATGCATTCGCGTTGCATGAAAGTTATTCAAGTATCTGCAACAGTAACTAAAATCGATTTTTTTTCTGCGAAGGTCAGAATACTGGAACGTTTTTCGATTGATAATTCTCGTTTGGAACTCATATCTCGATGGAAAAGAAGCTACAGACGAACTAAACCGAAACTGTCGAGTGCGTAGCGTTACCTCCATTCTTATCTCCATTGAGGGAACCTAAACATCTACCAACAGTTTACAAACACTTGAAACATATCGAAGAACCCTCTGAATACGTTCTGCACCATAGAAATGAAACACAGTAGAAATGAAAATTTTTTTTAGAATCGAAAGCGTTTCATTAGATTCACAAATTTGGACTTTGTACTTCTGGACATGAATTTTACTTTCACACTTTCATTGTATAATTTGTACTTAAAAATTAATTCTATTACGTTATGACACCTCAAAAAAGATAATAATAATTATTACAAATGATATGATAGCCCTAAATACCTTTCGTACAAAGTTCAACTATGTTTTATGTAACGAAATCAAGTGTCCGGATACTTATGGACGGCAGTGTATGTTATGTGAATAACTCATATGTAAAGAAATATGTCATGTACAAAATTTGTGCATAAACAAATATGTTACACGAACTTGTGTATAAAAGAGGAGGTTATGTCATTTGAGTGTATAAAATATTTGAAAGTTATATTATTCAAAACCCTCTTAGCACAATTTCTCCTCAACCTCAAGTTTCCACATAAAATACAAATTTTAGCAACTGTGCTATAATTCAAAAAGTACTATCAGTCTATTTACAAGAGTCCCGTATAAACCGAGCTTGAACATCTCCAAGAAAGAGCTCATGCAATATTTTCAATGTAACACGAGTGTCAAGATTATTCCTCAATTTTTCATGGTTTACATGAAAGTCAATATGTCCCAGGACTTCCGGAGCAGCAACGTGTATTTGTAGATAGGTGTGCATGCTGTGCGAGCCAGGCTCCAAGTGACGTCAGAAAAGTAGGTCAGGATTTAAGCTCGATTCGCACGTACCATCGTCATGAAATTACGCCCAACCATGGCCTTAATTGATCGACCCGTTAATTGTCCAACCGAAGAACGTGTTCTAAAAACGTGCGACACGGCGTCTTGATAACAAATCGAGTTTGAATCCTTGAAACTGTTACGAAGGACAGGTAAAATAACTATGCAGTGACATGCGTGGGTCTCTCGTCACGGGTTCATTTCCGCTTTCGTAAGATTTCGTGACTCAAGAAGATTGGAAAGGATAACGGAGTTTCGGAGAACAAGCAAGGAATATGTCGAGTACGAGGATTTCGTAAGTAAACATTAGTTCATTTTTTTTGACAAATCGTTTTGTTAAGGTTTGCCATTTTTGGAGTTTCAGGCAATTATGTCAATGTTCAGAACGGGTTGTTCAAGATCGTTAGATCCGAAGGTGTCAAAGTACTTTCGTGGAAGATAAAATTTAATCGGAGTTTTACGTACTTGGCCTGGCTAGGTTTTATCCCGTGCGCTTCCAAGTCCTTCTCCAGCTGTCTTATCCTGATCCTTGCCATGTCCAACTCGTGTTTCACCTTCCACAAGTGAGTGTCGCAGATGGGGTCTCTGCACCTGTGGTACCTCAAGATGTCCTGCGCCTCGTAAACTGCTCCTCGAAACGTCAGCGATTTTCCCATACTCTTTAAAAAGCGTGTTTAATGTTCAGGATCGAAGTACTCAAATATAGTGAAAAATTTAAATAGAAAGAATCTGTATATATTATACATTTATTCTATAAGATGTTATTTCTTGTATGAAATAAAAAGAAGTATAATTGAAGTATCAACCATGTTGAATTATTAAACAATACAATCGTAATAATCATGTCAAATATTTAACAATTTGGGAAAGACATTCTCATGTTATTAATAAACTATGTAAGAATTTTTTCAAGTATAACAATTTTTAAATATGAACAGCCATATATTTAAGATTAAATTTTATTTGCAAGTTAAATGAAAATTGAGCTTGAAACAGCTTGCTTTGAATAATCGCAAATTCTTCTGATTTTTATTTAATATCAATTTTGATGGATATTTGTTTGACAAAGGAGACTCAATAATTTTTTCATCAATTGATCAATCTTTTATTCATCATTCAGTAAAGAAAAATATGAATTGTTCAGTGAAAATGATAAACAAGAATCGCATGACGCTGCATATAATAAATAAAATATTTCAATATATGGACGTTTGATTTTTCGATATTCTGATGCGAAGATAGATTATACAGGCAAAAAATAAATTTACCAAGCTGAAAAGTGCGCAACAGCCGCCACCGTCGCTTCGTGCCAGATGCTGTCTGACATATTTGAAATACAGATGTTCGAGAAGTAAAAAGGCTGCGGCTAGAAGAATTCCCATCATCAGTAAAAGAAACGCGGATAAGAACTGTTCCAGTGCCAAGGGATCGCTGCTCTTTTGAACCTCTTTACCCGGCTTGCAGGTACCAGTCATCCAGTACCTCCTGAGACGTTCAAGGTCTCCTGAAATTTCAAATACTTTGCTTTTGTATTTAATCATTTGGAAATTTGGAAATTTGGAAATTTGGACATTTGGACATTTGGAAATTTGGAAATTTGGACATTGGGTAATTTGGACATTTGGAAATTTGGACATTTGGAAATTTGAAAATTTGGAAATTTGGAAATTTGGAAATTTGGAAATTTGGAAATTTGGAAATTTGGAAATTTGGAAATTTGGAAATTTGATTTGGAAATTTGGAA